TAACCACACATCAAACGACAACCCTCATCACATAAATTCAACTAAGCCAATGTTTGATACGAGCTCTATTTTACAGACAAGGAGTTTACGAAGATCAAACAAAACAGAGCATCTCTAAAAATTGAGAAAGATTGAAGAAAAAACACAACAGAAGGAAGATGTTTTAATAGCCGGAAATGACATTAAGCACTTCCAAGCCAACTACATGTTTTCAGTTAAACAATAGTAGTTGTATGTCCATCAAAAGCCATCAACAGTGGAAGTGTAGCAAAAGATGGGGAGGACAAGTTTCATGTTGTCTAAATTTTTTTAGTTTTTTTTAATAACCAGAGTTAGATCCATGTTTTTACCACTTGACTAATCTCCTATGGTGAATGTAGTTGTCGATTAACTTACTCACTAGATTTTCTAATAGTCAGAACAAAGTGAAAATGTTCTCGATTATAACTTTTTCCCTAAGCCATTTTATCACTAGTCACCACTTGGTCAAAAGAAATCGTTCGTTTTTAGTCATGTCGTCTAAAAAACTTATTTTCAGTAGATTAAACCCTAATAGAAGTTTTGAAAAAATTTCCTACGGTTTTATGCGTAAAACTTATTTCGGCCCAAAAAGGAAAAAATTCCTTTAGCCATTTCTAAGTATCCTTGGAAAACTGAAGAAACAACACAGAAGAAGAGGTTTTAAGGCTATATATAGTTATTCTCTTTGAACATTTACAGACACAAGTTGGTGGTTGGTTCTTGTAATAATGTAGAAAGAACATAGGAACAATGGCTAGCTAGCTAGTAACATCTAACTATCGTATTCAAGAGTTTCTACAACGCTCGATGATGATGGTGTTTCCAACCTCGTTAAAACTTCAGGCACTCCTGAAGTATCTCTTACTATCTGCGGAAGAAAACAAAAAAACCCGCGATTAAACTTCACCGGCTTTAAAGACAATATCGCTTCCATAAGCTTCAAAACAAAATATTCAATAGACTTACAAGAATCTCTTCGTCTAGATAAGATATCATGAAGAATCTTTCAAAGGATCCACCTGAAGCAGAGTTTACTAGATGGTTCACCGAACATGTGAGAGGAAAATGGTTATGTATGTATATAATGATTAAAGTAGCTTACTCAGGGGAATTCTTAGACCACTGGCTAAAGTATCCTTGATAACAGCAGGAAGCTGTTGCAGCGTTGTGGCGGCTTGACCCAATGCGCCTTTAAGCTGTTCAGGAACTGCTTCTTCAATGACCGTTGGAGATTCGAGCATACCTTCTATATATTCTTCTTTCAGTCTCAGAGGTCCTTCAACAGTCAGTTTCGATGATAGAATGATTTTACTTTCTATCTGCATTTTTTTTTGCTACTGTGAGAAACCTCTTTTGTGACTCGGTGCAACTACATGAACAACCTTTGAAAAGTTATGTTACCGAGTTCAGCAGTTTGATATTAGCAGTCGCCTTTGCATTAGCATCCTTGATCTGTATCTCCATTCTCGATAAATTCGCCAACGTTGAAGGAAACCTCCTGAAACATTACAAACATTTAAAAACTTTGAATAGAAATGGTGAGCTTGAAGATGAGAAAATGATAAGTATGCAAGTACTTACTCGAATATAACCCGAGCAGCGAGTAAACCAGGGCTTCCAGACCCAAACCACTCAAAATTCCATCTGCCTTCGAAACAAGGAGACCTGGAAAGCTATAGAAACCAGTTAAAAGCCAATCGTCCTAAAAACCGAAGCAAAATCATAACCAAAAGTCTAAAAAGAAGCGCCTACGTAGTTGGTCTGGGAGTCGGGTTAAGCCGCTCTAGACTCGTTATCCTCTCATTCACATCAATCCTTTGCATATTCGTTGTTTTCCCTGTAACTAAAGCCTCAAAGCCTCCAGCATCCTTCAACTGTGAACAGATAGTTTCAGGACAAGATTTGAGAGTGCAAAATACAGAGCAACTGATTGAGCTAAAACATGATTCATCTGATCTCTGGAACAGAGAAAACAAATATTCTAAACTTCAATCTGATAAATGTGTCCACTTGCAATATTGGAAGAGAATTTCCCATTCTTATCTGCAATTTCTTGATGATTAAAGCTAACAACTACTTCTAACAATCTCATACACAGATAGTAAAAAAAAGACCCAATTTTTTCACAATCAGGATAGAATTTGAAGATCTAAAATAATCATATTTCAGATCAATGAAGTAAATCGAAGTCCAAAAAACAAAAAAAAGGAGAAATCTTTACTGCGAGAAGCAATGATTCTTTAGCAGAAAGCCTCTCCATTTCTCTAGCGTAAACCGAAGAAGACCCTTGAACTGCTTCCTGCACCATTGCTCTCAAAACCATTATCCGGCACGAATTCCTCAAACCCTTCATCGCCGGAACAAAGACAGAAACCCTCGACGGTGGCACTGAGGTTGAAAAGCTCAATCGTACCGGAGAAGTCCCAGAAATCGAACCATGTATCAACGCCATTGAAGAAGAAGACCAAAGAGACATAAGCAAAACACTAAAGATTGAGTTTTTATTGTTTGTTGCTGTGATTAAAACCTCAAGAAAAGAGTAGGTAGGAGTTTTCCGGTTTTCTGGTTTAACCGGTCGGTTTTCGGTTTAGATAAAACCAGTTTACTCTCTGATAAAAGAAGAAAAGACTCTCGATTAGTGCCAAAGTTGACAACTTTTTCCTTAATCTCTGCTCGTTTTCCCGCCATGGAAATCGACTCCGAGAAGATTCACGAACGGAAGCAATCCGATTACAATAACCTGGTTCGAAAAATCCAATCTTCTCTTTTGTGTATTTTACTTCATGCGAAAAAACGAATCGAATCATGTGTTGTCGATTGTTTCTACTTTTTTGCGTGTGCGAGTTAGGGTTTGTAATTTTGATTCTGAGTTTCAATTGAAGCAGGATGAGAGATTCGAGATACAAAAGGAGATGTACAGAGGACAACAATACAGTCAGATTTACTTTGCTCGTCTTCATCTCATGAGAACACTTCTCTACTCTCTTGCTCCTACCTGGAAACCTCATTTACCTGGTAAGTGTTTTGTTTAACTCAACAAAGGAGAGAAATTTCCACGATTCTCGTGATGGGTTTGATGTAATTTGGTGAAAATCAGTGATTTTTGCTAAGTTTTCTGGGTTGTTCACGTGTTTGAAATTACAGATCTGAGTAAGGCGTTGTTTGTTTGTAGTGTGTAAGGTTTTGGGGCTTGAAGAAGGAAAAGAATGTATACTTGTTGGAACATTGTTCAAACACATGAAGCTCAAACCTTGCGTTCTCGATGAATATTCTAAAGAGGTTCGTTCGTCTACAACCTCTACTGTATTTTTTCCACTATGTCTATGTTGTATTGATAGCTCGATTATCTGAGAGTATATTAAACACAATGCAGAGATCAGTTACTCCGCTTGTTAAGCCGCATAACTTTATGCACCCTGATGATAATCTCATCCTGGAAGACGAGAGCGGGAGAGTTAAGCTTGGTGGCTCTGCACTTTCACCTGCAATATATGTGACAGGTTTGTAAATGGATTGTGCGACTGTTCTCTGTTGTATTTAGTTTTGTGGTTGTTAAAATGTGGCACATGTTTGAGCAAGATTAAGGTCTCTTGAAAGACGGATTCTTTGAGAAAATTGATGTTGATGCATTAGGAGGAAATTGTAGGTGTTGTTGTTGCATTGCACGGGAAAGAAACTAGTGCTGGTGAATTCGTTGTTGAAGATGTACTAGAAGCTGGTTTACCACCTCAGATAGAGCGGCCTTTGAATCTGCGTAAGTCTGAATATGTTCTCTTCCTTTTGCAATCCTTATTCGTTATGGCTCATCGAATCTAATTCTCATAGTACATCTTTATTGTTCTGCAGAGGAAGATAAATATGTTGTGTTATTGTCGGGCCTGTGCATTGGGAGCAGTTCGTCTAATCCTCTGCAATTTCAGCTTCTTGTTGACCATATAAATGGGTATCTCGGCGACGAAAAGGTTCAAATCTTTTTACTCTTAGGTTCGTCCATATTTGTCTTTCCTTAATTTCTGATGTATGGTTTGAACAGGTACATGCCCTTGCAGCACAAATAGTTCATGTGGTTATTGCTGGAAACTCTGTTGAATTTCCCCGTAAACTCTTTAACGGACAGGTACTCATAACTTTTGTTGTTGATTGTTTCTCAAATAAAGCTTCAATGATCTGCCCCAGTTATGACTTATGATCTTTTCTTGGTTGAATTTTTCAGAACTTGGCCTCGAAAGATCAATCAACACTGTATGAGCCCATCAAAGAGCTCGATATCATGTTAAACCAGGTCAGTTAACCAGATCTACCTGTGTGTTATCAAATCTATTGAGATGAAAATTCAAATTCTTGTTTTTATTGTTTTTTAGATAGCTGCAGGGGTTTCGATAGATATCATGCCAGGCCTAAATGATCCAGCTAACTTCGCATTGCCTCAGCAGGTTTGTTAACACATAACAAACACTCAAAAGACTGAATTTTGCATCAAAAAATCTGTAACATAGGCACTTTCTCTTTTGTTCAGCCTCTGAACAGATGCCTTTTCCCTGGATCAGCACCTTATAACACCTTCAGATCATGTACAAATCCTCACTCCTTTGATGTCGATAATATCAGGTTTGGTTATTATTACATTCTCTCTGGTTTTACAACGATAACTGCAGTTCGTTGGGTATATCTGACTAAACACCTCTTGGGTTTTGAGGTTTTGCAGATTTCTTGGAACTTCTGGTCAGAACATAGATGACCTTGACAAATACTCAGAGGCTGAAAGCAAGCTTGATTTTGTTGAAAGAACGCTGAGGTGGAGACATCTTGCTCCCACTGCACCCAATACACTCGGTAAGAATCAACCTCCCCTGCAAATTTACTTCCCTAAACTAAGCCTCAAGAAGAAGAAAAGAGGAACAAAAATTCTCTTTCGAATCCATTCGATTGATTTCACTTCTTTACAGGTTGTTATCCTTTCACCGATAGAGATCCTTTCTTGATCGAAACATGCCCTCATGTCTACTTTGTTGGGAATCAAGATAAATATGACACCCGTTTGTTAAAAGGTAGAACTTCCTTCGTTGCATAGAGAGGTTATATAAGAACAGAATTGTTACTTTTTGTCAAACAATGCTCTTAAGCCTTAAAATTGGGGGAAATATTCACCGATGCAGGGTCAGAAGGGCAACTGGTCCGGTTGATCTGCGTTCCTAAGTTCTGTGAGACCGGTACTGCTGTTGCGGTAAGTTGAAAATTGAGTGAAGATCGTCCTCATATGACTCCATTATCTCACATAAATTGCAGAAGCTTGTATCTCAAAGTCAGCATGTTTTTGTTTTTCCTTTGTTGCAGGTGAATCTAAGGAATCTGGAATGTCATACACTTAGCTTTAGCACTCAGATGAATTAAATCATAACATCGGAGTTGCTACTCTTTATCTTGAAGATCTTGTGTGTGTTTTCTCTTAAGTTCTAACCAAATGTAATTTCTTTAGAAATATATATAACTCCCTTTTTCATATGAAACCAAACAACACTTTGGATGTGTTTGTTATTCTCATTTTGTCGTATCTAGATCTTTGTGCTCATTTTCTTAAAATTTGTATTTTTTTCTT